CAAACAAGTACCGATTCTTGGTAGTTAAACACGGGCAACACTCGACTGTGATCGGCGCAGCATACACGCTGGCCAGGCGGCGATCGAGCCCGAAACAAATCACGTCGTCATCACTCACAATTCCGCTAGCGCCAAATGGCGCCAAGTGGCGTCTGCACGAGAATTCGGCATCAACAAAAAGTACGGAGGGGGAGGGGTGGAAGGCGGTGGCGTCGGAGAAGGGAAAAAATTGCCCTGTATCGTTGTGTTGGTCACTCCCTCCTCGCCCCAGAGCCAAGACGCGCCCTGGGGGCTGGGCTGGCGGACAATGCCGGAGGCGCGCCGAATCCTCTAAACTTAAGTTGAAAAGCCCTCCTCTCGTATTCAGCTAGGTTCTTCCTCATCTGAACCGTCATGGACTCTCGGGGCGTCGGCGGCAGTCCCGGGGCCAAGAAGTCGCTGAGTTTCCTCTCTTCGATCGGGCTGAGCGGCGCTGGGATCTTTCCAGCTCTGGTCCGCAGCCCGCGCAGGAACACCCTGTGGCGATCTTGGGCGAGGCCGTAATCCTGCGAGCACCGCATCTGCATCCTTCTCCACCCTCCTCCCTCCTCCCTCCTCCTCCGTCCTCTCCTCCTTCCTCCTGTCTCCCCCTGGGCCTCGTCCAACTCCTTCTCCTACCCCTTCGTCCTCCTCCAACTAACCCTTCTCCTCATTCTCCTCCTCCTCCCTCCTTTTGCCTCCTCCTCTCCACTCTCCCCCCTTACTCGTGCCCCTCCTTCCGCCCCTGATCGCAGCGGGGAAGGGGGGGGGGGTGGACGGGCGGGCGTCTGGGGAGGGGCAGGGCAGTGCCCCCCAAGTAACCCCGCCAGGCACCCTCAGAAGGGCCTCGCATCAGTTTTCCGAGCTGCTCTCCACTGTGGCAACAGGCCCCCCCCCCTGGATTTTGAGCAACGGTTGGTGGTCCTTAGCGTGTAGCTCCTGGCAATCCCAGGCCATCTCCGCGACCTCGTCTCTGAGCACTGACAGCAACGTTTCCCTGAAACTCTGGCCAGCGCCGTGTTTCTGCAGAATGCCTGCGGCGCAACGAGGGCCAGACGTCGGATCGGAACGGAACTCGAGGAGGAGGGATGCGATGATGATGACGATGATGATGATGATGATAAGGAGGAGGAGGAGGAGGAGGAGCAATTGGAAGAGGATGAGAAGGGGTAGGAGGAGGAGCAGGAGAGAGGAGGAAGGGGGGCAGGAGGGGGAGGAGGAGGAGACGGAGGATGGGGATGGAATTGTAATATTACGCATGTTGCGCGGCCCCAGGGCGCCCCTGACATTTTCCAGGACCGCGATCTGCAAACAGCCCTCCTTCGCGAAACGCACCGTCATCTTGACGATGTGGACGAAAACGTCGGAGCGGGCATCCCACCTCCCAGCCCTCTTGCCCTGGCCGCTCCATGGGGGGCAAGGAGGGCCACTGATGATCACGTCAATGGGCCCAGGGATGTCCTTGATGTTCGTGCGAAGGACGTCCCCTGCCACGGGGCCCAACTTGGCCACCCCGGGGCCCAGCTGTCGATCCTCGGAGGGGGGGGGGGGCAAATCGAATACAAGGGGGGCCTCGCACGATTGGCCTGTGACCTTGATACTGTTGTTGTTTGAAACCTCTCTCTCTCTCTCACTCGCTCACTCGCTCTTTTTTGTTTTCTCTCTCTCTCACTCTCTCCGCGTGTATCTACGCGTCGCCCTCCCCCCAGTTTTGTGTCGGAGGCTGTCCAGCAGCTGGCGGTAGCCTGGCTCTAAGTCCAACACGAGCTGGGGATCGATCTCCACGCCCAGCGCACGCAAAGCTTCCCCTGCGTTGGCGCAGTGGGGCGGGTGGGGTAATCGGGCCACCTTGGCGGCCCTTGCGCGGCCCGACCTGGTTTCGCCCCCCGAAACGGCACATCCAGCCCCGAGGTCGGAACGGGGCAGGAGGAGAAAGAGTAGGAGGAGAACGATACTGAGGGGCAGCAACAACACCAGCATGAACAATAGCACGGGCAGGAGAAGCGGGAGGAGGGAGGGGAGGAACCAGAAGAGTCGGTTGGTCCTCTTCCCTCTTCTTCCTCCTCCTCTCCTCCTCATCATCCTCCTCCTCCTCATCTTGGCCCCCTCCCCCCTTCCCCCCCCCCCCCCCCTCTCCCCGCCAGCAGCGACATCCTGCCAGCCCTCTGGGCGCAGGTGGTCTGAGGCGCTTCCTTTTCCAATCTCCAGCCTGTCCCTGCTAGGGAGGTGCACCCCTCTGCCCCTGCATGCGTTTGGGCGGTGACCCCAAGAGGGCCTCAGAGAGCGCGAAATGGCCTCCAAGATGGCCCAATATAGCGGTGCATGGGTCAAGCTAGCCTCCGACGCACGTCCAAGAGGCCTCAAGACGGCCCCAAGACGGCCCCCAAATGCTGCCCGAGGCCCCCGAGTGCCCCCCCCCCCCCCCCCCTCGATAGAAAAGATGCCGACGTCCTTCAGAAACCTAAGGAGAACTAGTGGTGTTTGCCTTCTCGCTTTTTCGCACCCGACGGGCCCTCGAGGCCTCGAGATGGCCCCGAGACGGCCCGAGATGGCCCCAAGAGGGGCCCAACGGGGCCCCCAAGACTGCCGCGAGAGCGCTCCAAGAGGGCCCCAGGACGGGGGGAAGAGGGAGGGGGGGAAACTAAGGGCCCCCTTCTTTTCGTTAGCGACAGGGCCCAAGGCGGCCCCAAGAACCCCCCCCCCAGACCCCCTCCCCCTCCCCCTAAAGAGCCCCAAGACGCCCCCAAAAGGCCCCCAATAGGGCCCCAAGAAGGCCCTGCGAGGACCTCAAGCGAGCCCCAAGAAAGAACTCCAGGAGGGCCTAATATAACCCCAAGACAGCCCCAATATGGCTCCAAGTTTCGACACGCACGCGAGTTTAAGATGCAAATCGGTGCATCAACTGTCGCGAATCATCGAAACACCCCTCGCCCCTCATCGAAGCACCACCGTAGCTTGCACTGATTCCCATCTTAAACTTCAATGCGGGAAGCTATTTGTGACCCTTGTTTCCCCGAAGACGGCTGGGCGACTGCATGCGCCCTGCCGCCCGTGATTCGCCAACTCTCTTGCTCATCGTTTCTGGGTGGGCTGGTAGTAATGCGCGAAGCGTCAAGAATTGCTCCCCCCCTTCCTCTTCCTCCTCGTCGCCCTCCTCCTTCCCCTCCTCCAAGTCCTCCTCCTCCTCATCCTCCTAATCCTCCTCCTCCTCCTCCTGGTCCTAGTGCCAGGAGGTGTCATAGCAGGGGCACTAGGCAGGGCAGGAGGAGGAGTAGGGGGGGAAGGAGAAGGAGGAGGAGGAGGAGGAGGATGAGGAGCAGGAGGAGGAGCAGGAGCAGGAGAAGGAGGAGGAGGGGGGGTGGAGGAGGAGGAGGAGGAGGAGGAAAGGGAGGAGGAGGAGGAGGACAAGGAGGAGGAGGAGGAGGAGGAGGAAACGTCTTGGGGGTCTTACGTCCCAACCTGCTCCATCAATCCCCACGCAAGGCATCGCAACCCTGAGGCGCCGCTTCAGCGGCGGGTTCAGGCGCAGGGGCCCCGGGAGCGGAAACCGCGGGGTCAGGTTGGCCGCAGTCGTGTTCGTCTTGCGCCACTCTGCCTCCTGAGAGCGAAATCCTCTCCTCCTCATCCTCCTCCTCCATCTCCTTTTCCTCCTCCTCCTCAGGTCCTCCTCCTCCCCTTCCTCCTCCTCCCTGCTTATGGTGTTGCTGCTCTTGCCGCTGTGGCTGCTGCTGCTGCTGCTGCTCCTGCTTCTCCTCCTTCTCCCCCTCCCCCTCCTGCTCCCTTTCCCCCTTTTTCCTCCTCCTCCTCCTCCTCCTCCTTCTCCTCCTCAGCCTCCGCCCTCCTCCTTCCTCTCCCTTGTTCTCCTCCTCGTCCCTCTCCTCCTTCCTCTTCATCTGCCATCGGCGGTCCATGACAAGCGTGGACGTCGCTCCTGGCATGCTGCCGCGAAAAAATATGCTGAAGCGTCGGATTAATGGGGGGATCCTCCTCCGAGCCAGAAGCTATCGACGGAGAAAGTTTCGAAGCGAGAGCTTTTACTCCCTACCTATATAGGCTCTGCCTATAGTTCCTATACTGTCTTAGAGTGTTGCCCGCCCTGGGCGGTTCCCCTAGGATCCGCACCGCGGTTCCCCCAGTTGCGCTCCCTTAGCTTAGCCTTTCTTATCCCATCTTAGCTTAGCTTATTTCATGTTAGCTTAGCTTAGCTTCATCTTAGCTCAGTTTTATATTTGCTTAGCTTACCTTCGTCTTAGCTTCACCGAGCTTTAGCATAGCATAGCACATTCTAGCATAACATAGCGTAGCATAGGATAGCATCGCACAGCAAATCATAGCACAGCCCAGCATACCATATCATAGCGTAACATAGCACAGCATAGCGCAGCACAGCACAGCAGAGCACAGCGCAGCATAGCATAGTATAACATAACATAGCATCTAATAACAGAGTATAGCACAGCACAGCCTGACATAGCATAGCTTGTCTTAGCATAGCATAACATTGCGCAGCATAACATAGCGCAGCATATCATAGCATAGCATAGCAAAGCATAGCATAGCATAGCAACTAATGCTGCTTTCTTAGGGGCTCCAACTTCTAGGTAGGGTCGCACTGGGGATTTTTTCGTGGCGTTGGATTTTGTCGGAGGGCCCGATCGGGCCAGGGCCCAACAAGGGCTCGTGGGACCTCGAAACGCCCCGACAGGGGAGGGTATCCGTGGGGTGTCCGGAAGGTGTCCGGAGGGTGTCCGTGGGGTGTCCGGAGGGTGTCCGTGGGGTGTCCGGAGGGTGTCCGGCCCCGGGGGCCCTCCTGGGCCGGACACCCCACGGACACCCTCCGGACACCCCACGGACACCCTCCGGACACCCCACGGACACCCTCCGGACACCCCACGGACACCCTCCGGACACCCTCCGGACACCCTCCGGACACCCCACGGATACCCTCTGCATTCGGCTGCACCCCGCGCCCGCCGCGCGAGGCCGAGCGGCCCGCCTGATCGGCGACCTCGCGCCTCGCAGCCTATCGGCCACGTCCGCGGGCCCAACGACAGCGAGGAGCGTACGCGAGCCGAAGGACGGGTTAGCATACGAGGGAGGGGGGTATAGGAGGAGGAGGAGGAGAAGGAGGAGGAGGAGGAGGAGGAGGAGGACGACGAGGAGGAGGAGGAGGAGGAGGAGGAGGCGGGAGGAGGAGGCGGGGGAGGAGGGCGAAAAGGAGGAAGAGGAGGGGGAGGAGGAGGAGGAGGAGGAGGAGAAAGAGGAGGAGGAAGAAGAAGAAGGTGGGCGAGAGGGATAAATAGAAAGAGGAGGAGAAGGAGAAGGGCAAGGACAAGGCCAACACTTACTGAGAAGGAAGAACTTGAGAAGGAGAAGGAGAAGAGTAAAGACAAGGAGAAGGGAGAGGACGACGACGAGGACGAGGCACAACAAAGGGCGCATGGACGAGGAGGGGGAGGGGAAGGAGGAAAAGGAGGAGGAGGAGGAGGTTGTAGATGAAGAAGAAGAAGGGGAGGGCAGAAATTCCTTCACGCGTTCGGACGGAGGGAGGACCAGGATCAGAAGCATCAGGAGGAGCAGGAGTAGGTGGAAGGGGGGGGAGCGAGGGGGGGCAGGAGAAGGAGCAGGAGGAGGAGGAGGGCAGGAAGAGGGCGAATGAGGAGCACGATTGTTAGCAGCATCAGCCCGCTCTGTACAAGCGACGCCGCGCACTTCCAAGTCCCACGAGGCGTGCGAAACTGTACACTTGAACGCCGAGATAAGACAAGCAACCAAAAAGTCGGTGGCGGCAAGGCCACTGTCGAGAATCACGCCCCCCCCTGTCCCCCTTGGCCCGCTTCTCATGTTGCCTCCCTGTATCTACGCCGCCGAGAATGCAGTGGACGCTGGAAACAGCGGCTTGATGCCTCGGGCGGTCGAAACGTGGGCCAGCGTATGCACGAACTCTCGCGCGAAAACAAACGACGGTGCAAGTAAAACTGGGCGCGCAAAGGCGCCGTCTGATGTCTCCTGCAACTGTTGAACACAAGCGGCGCACTGGCCGTCGACCGAAACAAAACACAACGCTTCACAAACGCGATACCCTCTGCAGAGGACCAGATCCCCCTTGCAAACCAAGCCTACAAGAGTCTGGGCTGAGCTACTCACTTGCGCCGATCCAGGGCCTGCGGATCCAAGAACAGCCGCTAACCTTCAGGGGGGCGGGATTGATTCCGCGAGGGCCCGGGGGCCAGGGGTTAGAAGTGGCAGGGGTTTGGGGGGAAGTGAGATCGTGGCCCATGGAAAAGGAAGGGAAGAGGAGAGGCAGGAGGAATATGAGGATGAGCTTGCAGTTAGCAAGGGAGATGGGCTAGGGCCTGCTGCAGTGGTATGGTGTTTTTGGCTATTGCCGACCCCCGCCGCCACCATGGAAGGATGCCCTTCTTCTTCGACGGATTGACCAAATACGTAGACTGAACGGATTTCGGGTTCTGCATGCTCAACACGTGGTGATGCGTCAACCGCTTAATAACATATGTCACATCCTGTCCAAAACAATAGTTCAAACACGTTTTCAGCTTCCGATGGCGCCTCTCTGGAGCAAAACAATTCACGTTGATTTCGTACCTGAGGATTTGCTGGGTGAGGTGGGTAATGTAGTGCAATTTGGGCCTGTCGACAGAGGGGCAGAGCGGGATCGCTTCCAGGCTGAAATCGCGTCGACCCTGCTTAAATTGGAAATCAGAACATCGATTTTCGTTTGAACTATCCAGTCTACAAGTTCGCTCAGAATCTTCATGGCCCGAATGTGGCCGCCCATGGCACCGATATTCATGGGGACAAGGACTTCCATGGATAATAGGTTTAGCACTGCAACTGCTGAAATCATTTCGCCAGCAAACGCCCTCATCTCTTTGTTATCACCGTCCCGGGTCCTCGTGGAGAAAAAGGTCTTCGATAGTGGGGTGAACGACCTTGGGATTTTTACTGCCTGGGCAAACTTGTCGAGGTGCTCTAAACTGATGGGGGTTGAACGCACGAGGTCATTGATGTACTGGTTCGTTTGGAATTGAGCGACCCCTCCAGTGGCGAGAATACAATGCATCACGTCAAAACACACGGAATCACAAGGCATGCAGATCTGGCGGGTAAATCGGTCGAACAACAACCCCTCGGGCTCGGCCTTATACCCTTGAAATTTCTCAATATCTTTGATGCGAGCAGCACTCAAAGGAGGATCTCTCAACTTTGCCTCCAGCACAACCGCAAGACAGTCACAGACCCGCCACGCTCGCAAACCTTGCGAACGCGAGGGCGTCCCTCTTGTTTAGAGCCCCTCTCTCCTCCTCCACATCCTACTCTTCTTTCTCCCCCTTCGCTCCATGCCTTCCTGTCCTCTTCTGCTCTCCTCCCTCTCCCCTACTCTTCCTCATCCTCTCGTTATTCTTCTCCTCCTCCGCCGCCGCCTCCTCCCCCCCCCCCCTCCTCCACCTCCTCCCCCTCCTCCTCCTCCTCCTCCTCCTCCTCGTTCCACACCTCCTCCTCCTCCTCCCCCTCCTTCTCCTCCCCCCTCCTCCTCCTCCTCCTCCTCCTCATCATCATCATCCCCCCCCTCCTCCTCCTCATCATCACTCCTCGTCCTCCTCCTCCTCCTCCCCTCCTCCCTCCTCCTCGCCTCCTCCTCCTCCTCCTCCTCCTCCTCCGCCTCCCCTCCTCCCTCCTCCTCCTCCTCCTCCTCATCCTCCTCCTCCTCCTCCTCCTTCTCCTCCTCCTCCTTCTCCTCCTCCTCCTACCCCTCCTCCTCCTCTTGCTGCTCGTCTTGGGGCCCCCTGTCCTATAGCCCCAAGTGGTCGGCGGAACGGCGGAAGCCCTTATCGGCATTGAAGCGGCATCGTGGAGATGCTGGTCCTGCTTGCGGCATTCGCCCACCGTTTTGAAATATGCAGAGTGCGCGTCGCATCGATATATCACGTTCCGACATAACAAACATGGCTTGACGCCTGCCGAGCCCATCACATTGAAAACGCCTTTCAAGGCTTTCTCATCGCATATGAAACAACTGAAATCGAAACGAAGACGCCTGCGGTCTACGCCGCCCGGGCACGGGATCCACAATCCAGTTCGAGACATACACCAAGAATTCGGGTCTGGGTTGAAAAACGTCTTGATAACTTGTTTCGCCAAACGAGTGAGACCCCCTGTAAACAATTTCAATGATCTAGTTGGGACGGACCCGAACACGAACCAGGCGTCATCTCTCTTTCGGAAGTATTCTGGGAAGTGCTTCAGGGTCCAATAGATAGCCATGGCCTGCCGACCCTCGTCAGGTCTGAGAACGTTGCCTGGGGCCAGGAGCCGAGAGAAAAAAAAACGCCGAAGAGCAAGGTGGGCGGTGCGTAGTGCGTCATCCCCCCCCTCGCAGTCTTCCTCTCGTGCCCCGTTGCCGCGCTCTTCTTCTCGTCCTCCCCCATTCCATCACCCTCGCTCTGCCGTCTCCCTCCTGCTTCCCCCCCTGGCCCCCTCGCCCTCTCCACCCATTGCTCTTGCAAACGTCGGCTCTTGCCGATTTGAACTCCTATGCGCCTGGCGTGCACTCGTCAAAGTATAACAGTACGCCTCCAGAAATATCGCCCCAGTTGTGGCAATCCAACAAGAATCGAGAAAAATGTTCAGAGGTCGAACACATCACATGCAGTAAGGCCAGTGGGTTGCTGTAGCTCATCACGTATTCGGGCCCTGTGGTCATCTGAATCTTCATCGCGTCTACCAGGGGCCCATAAGGCGTTTTTGTTTGCGCAAACGAGTCCAGCTCACGAGAGAGAGAGAAACGCGGCCAGCCAACGCGCCAGACTCTTGATGGTCTCCCGGGGGGGGGGCCACCAGTTCATGGATCACTTCCGATAGAGAGGTCAAACTCACGTTCAGGGGGACCTGGGCCTTCGTCATCTTGGCGCGCTTGGCCAGCGGGGCGGCTGCCATCGCGCCAGTCCTCGCCAGCGGCGGGGGGCGGATCAGGCAAGACGAGGGGGAGGGGCAACGACGGCGCCTGGGACTTGCAGCCGAGGGGGGAGGGGGGACTGCGAAGGGGGACGAAGGGGGGAAGGAAGGGGGGGGAAGGGCGGGGGAAGGGGCAGAGAGGAAGAGAGGATGACTGGGAGGAGGACCGCCAGGAGAAAGAGTGTTGGAAGGAGGGGAGGAGGGAGATCGAATCCTTTCGAGCTTTCCGTATTTCCTTACCTGGGCTCTGCCTAGAAGGGCTCTTACTGTCTTGGCTTAAAGGGGCTGGGCAGTGTTGCCCGCCCCGGGCGGTTCCCCCAGGATCTGCCCCGCGGTTCCCCCAGTTGCGCCCCCTTAGTTTAGCGTTGTTTATCTCATCTTAGCTTAGCTCAGTTCATATTAATTTAGCTTAGCTTCATCTTGGCTCAGGTATATGTTTGCTTAGCTTACCTTCATCTTAGCTTCGCCGAGCTTTAGCATAGCAGCGCACAGCGTAGCATAGGAGAGCGTAGCATAGCATAGCGCAGCACCACATATCATAGCATAGCCCATCATAGCCCAGCATAGCGCATCATATCATAGCATAGCATAGCGTAGCGCAGCACAGCATCGCACATCGCAGCATAACATGACATATCATAACATAACATATCGTAGCACAGCGCATCATGATATAGCATAGCTTAGCTTAGCTTCGTATAGCATAGCATAGCGCAGCATAGCATAGCACGGCATGGCATACCATAGCATAGTATATGATGCTGCTTTCCTAGGGGCTCCAACTTCTAGGTCGGGTCGCACTGGGGTAGTTATGATGCTAAATGGCCCACTCGCCGCCATGGCTGGACCTCTAATCCCACCAGCCCTCTGGGCGCAGGTGGTCTGGGCGCGTCCCTGTTCCAACCTCCGTCCTGTCCCTGCTTGGGGGCCTCGTACTAGCAGGACTTCCGCACGCCTCCAGGAGCCCTCGCCAATAAAAAACAGCTCAGCTCAAAAAAATGCCCCTGAGGATGTCCGAACGCCTCCGAAGGCAGGGCGCACCTGTCACGAGTAGGACTTCCAGAAGCCTCCGGGAGCCTTGGTCACTGCCTATAGAAAGCTCAACTCCAAAAGGGCCCCTAAGGATCTCCGACGGCCTCCGAGAGCTCCGAGAATCCCCCCCCCTCTCACCTGCCCCCTTCACTGTGTAACTCCCCCCTCCTGTGCGCGTAGCCGTTTTGGCTCCAAGACCCGCGCTGCTTCTCCAGCTTGGACAGCTCGAATTGTTTCTTTCCTGTGGCAGCCCGAGCAGCTTCGCCATGTCGGCGCAGCCCGAGACATTCATGGGCGTCGGCGCCCCCGTGCCCCTCGATACGCTCGAGGCCACAGGCGCGCCAGGCAGCGCGACAGCTTCTGAGGCGGGCGAGGTCGTGGAGGTGCTGGACGTTTTGGACACCGTCGCACACGCTGGGCAGTGCGCCCCGCGTCTCCCGGGAGCTGAGCAGCTCGGCAAGCGGTCGGCGGCAGCGGCGGCGACGCCCGCTCGTGGCAAGTGGGACGACGCATGCATGACGTGCAAGGGGCCGCTGGGCGATTCGCCAGTCAAGGTGTTCACGAAGCCAGACGGCTCACATATTAAGCGGTGCCGCCCTTGCCACAACTTGCGCAAGAGGATGTACACGCTCTTCAGGGACAACGCGGAGTTGAAGTCCGACTTCGCGCTCGTCGGGGCCCAGGCTCGCGACTCGTTCATCGAGCGGGCCAAGTCGCTCTTCGGCGGGGACCTCAAGTTGGCGATCGAGGAGGTCATCGAGGTCACCCTGACCACGACTCGGTCCCAGGGCTTTTCTGGCGAGGGGCACTGGCTGGACAGCGAGGAGATCGACAAGAAGTTCGCAGGGCGGCCATCTCAAGCAGCCGCCATTCGCCGCAATGCACGGACGATGTACGACGATGACAGGGAGTGCGAGTTGTGGGAGGTCTTTGATTACAAGTCCAGCCACAACACGTCGACCTCGGAGCAGGAGTCGAGAAAGCGCAAGGCCACGCATGAAGGCGTGGCCAAGGCGGCCAAGGCGCCCAAGGCCAAGGCCAAGCCGCGGAAGGAGAAGAAGGGGCAGGCCGAGGGCGACGGGGAGGGAGGCGCTGATGAACAACAGCCTGACCCAGAGGCAAACCTCAAGGTGCTGACCGAGGGCCAGAAGAAAACGCTGGAGAAGGCCGTGCAGAAGCTGCACGACGCGGTCACGAAGCTGCAGACGCTCGTCCAGAGCGCCCGGGCCGACGAGGTCAAGGACCTCCTGGAGAGGAGGGGGAGGAGGAAGAGGGGGGGGAGGACCAGGGGGGGGAAGGGAAGGGGGAGGACGAGGAGGAGCAGGGGGGAGGAGGGGAAGGAGGAGGAGGGATGGGGGAGAGGAGAGGGAGGCGGAGGAGGAGGAGGATGGGGGGGGGAGGAGGAGGAGGAGGGAGCAAGAGAAGGAGGAGGAGAAGGAGGAGAAGGAAAAGGGGGAGGAGGGAGGAGGATGAGGAGGGGGAGGACAGGGGGGGGGGGGGGGGGGACAGGGGGGAAGAGGAGGAAGGAGGAGGAGGGGGAGGAGGAGGAGGGAGGAGGAGGAGGAGGAGGAGGATGAGGAGGAAAAAAGGTGGAGGAGGAGGAGGAGGAGGAGGAGGAGGAGAGGGTGGATGATGAGGAGGTGGTGTAGGGAGGAGGAGGAGGAGGAGGAGGAGGAGGAGGAGGAGGAGGAGGAGGAGGAGGACAAGGAGGAGAAGGAGGAGGAGGAGGAGGGAGGAGGAGAAGGATGAAGAGGAGGAGGTCGAGCTGGAGGAGCTGGAGGGGCGGGAGGCCCGCCCTCTCCTGTTGCCCCTCCTTTACTCGACGCTGGCCTCTAATGCTTGCCGTGTCTCGCCCCCCCTCGTGCGCAGGATTACTTCCCGAAGCGAGCCGTTGATACCGCTGCCAAGCAGTTGGAGGCGGCGGCCCAGATCGGAGAGAGAGCTGACGCCACCTTGCACAAGGGCAAGGCAGAGAAAGGGCACCCGTCCGCGGTCGGGAAGGAGATGCGTGACACGTCGGCGAAGGCGCTGGCGACTGTGTCCCGCATGCAGGGATTGCTGGACGAGGCGGCGGCAGACAAAGCGGCGGAAATGGAGGAAGCAGAGGCGGCGGAAGATGATGCGTAGGGGTCGCAGCGGCCCCGAACTAGCTGATCGGTGCCTGGACGACGCGCGCACTAGTGCTGCCGCTCGCTGTATAGGTGCGCGCCGTTTCAGCCAGCTCCTCCTCCTCCTCCTCCTCCTCCTCGATCGGAGCCCGGGCAGCGTGGGCCCCGCGCGGCCGCCTGTTGTACAGAGGCGCACCGATCTTGCCAGCTCGTTGCTCGACGGTCAGCGCTGGACACCACCAAGTCGCTGGCCAACGTGCAACTCGCCAGCGGCCAACTCACGTGGCCGCCAGTGGCTCGGGGGAAGGAGGACGAAGAGGAGAGGGATGAGGAGAACGAGGGGAGGAGAAGGAGGGGGGAGGAGGAGAAGGAGACCCTCTTAACCAGCCAACTGCGCCTCTCTATAGGCCAGCCAGTTGGCGATCCAGCGTGGAACTCGCCCAGCAGGGCATCTGATAGCGTGAAGGAAAAGCGCGCCCTCCCAATGAAATGTAACGTGCAAGGGTGGGTGAGGCACTCGCAGCTTGAGCGTTCTCGGCAAGGCGCAGCTTTGGGACACATCCAAACGCTTCAAGTTGACCCTAAGTGGGCGAGCCGACGATCCTGGTGCCGACGTATTTCGCTCTGACCAGCGTTTCAAGTCTCGACGCTTCGCGTACCCCCACCAGTCTTTCCAGAAACGAGCGATAGGGGAGTTTGTGAATCGGGAGCGGCAAGGCACATGCAGTCGCGCAGCCGTCCTCGGGGAAAACAAAGGTCACGCGTAGCTTCCCGTATTGCAGTTTAAGATGGAAGCCAGTGCAAGCTACGATGGTGCTTCGATGAGGGGTGAAGGGGTGTTTCGGTGACTCGTAGGGGCTGTTGCACTGAATTGTATGTTAAGCTCGCGTGCGTTTCGAAACTTGGAGCCATCTTGGGGCTCTCTTGGGGTTCTCTTGGGGCCCTCTTGGGCCCCTACCGGGGATATTTCTTGGGGCTCTCTTGGAGTCCTCTAAGGGCCTTCTTGGAGCCCTCTCGGGGCTCTTTTGGGTCGTCTTGGGGGGCCTCGTTGGGCTCTGTCGAGGAGTCTGGGGGCCTTCTCGGGGCTCTTCTGGGATGCCTGAAGGGCCTCTTGGGGCCGTCTTGGACCCTTTCGCTGAGAAAGGCGGGGGAGGGGGGGGGGGGGTCTTATTTCGGATCCCCAGTGCCGTCCTGGGGCCCTCTTGGGCTGCTCTTGGAGCGTCTCGGGGCCCTGCTGATCCCTCGTGGGGCGATGGCTATCCTGGGCAGTCTCGGTGCCATCTCGAGGCCTCGAGGGCCCTTCGGAAGCGAAAGAGCGAGACGGCACAAAACCATTGGTGTCCCGCTGGCGTTTGAATGAATTTGGCTTCCTTAGGCGGTCATAGGAAGCCTCGGGCAGCACTTGAAACCGTCATGGGGCCGTCTTGAGGCCTCTTGGACGTGCGTCTGAAGCTATCTTGACCCATCTACCGCCATCGCGGGCCATCTTGGAGGCCAGTTTGCGCTCTCTCAGGCCCTCTTGGGGCCATCTTGGGCCATCTTACGGCCATTGGGTGGCCCGCCCTCCCCGCGCAAGCGGGGGGGGGGGGGGGGGGGGGGCGGAGCTGACCTGTGTGCAGGCGGAGGCGCTTGGAAATCCTCGGATGCCCTTTTTAAGCTGATATGCGGCGGGAGACCATCATACATATTGATCTCGGAGTCGTCGGGGTCTCTGGAAGCGGTTGGCTCTGTTGAACTGGAACCGTCAAAAGTTCGGGGCCATCTGAAGTCCCTAAAGGCACCCACACGCGCTAATCCCAGAAGCTCCAGCACGGACGTTCCCCGCGCGACGCAGGAGAGAGGCGCCAGTTGCATAGGTGGTTTCTTTAGGCCCAAGGTTTGATTCTCATGAAGAGGTCCCTTGTTCCCTTTAGGTTTCCCCTTGTTGCCCTCTATGTTCCTTGTTTCCTTGTTCCCCTTTAATGTTCCCCCCCTGACGTTGTCCCTCCTCCCCTTGTGCCCGTCGTGTCCCTCCTCCCCTTGTGCCCTTCGCCTACTCCTTACATCTATTTTGTGCTGCCGAACGTCGAGAACTGTCGAGCGCGCGAGTGATCCTATCCTGGCTTAAGATACAGAAACACATTCGAGCTGCAGCCGTCGCACTCTCGCCTGAATTCGAGCCTGGCGCCAGCTATTGGAAGCGCGCGGCTGCAGGGGCAACGGGGGACTGCTTGAAGAACGGGCTGCGCTGAAACCCAGGCTCGATCGCATCGAAGCTCTCCAGAGGCGCAACGTACGCTGGCTCACCTGCAGGAGTCCACACACCAGGGGCAGGGGCGCGAGTGCAGCGCGGGACTCCTAAACCCGCGACGACGCCGAAAGCGAACCCCTCACTGACTGGGCAGCTGTTGCCCACAGTTGGCGCCGACGCGCCTGCCGACCCCGACGTCGTTCCCGATGCTCTGGCTGGCGGCGGGCATCGCTCGAAAGAAGACGCTGTCTGTGCTGATGTCGTCACTCCCGCGTGCGTCCTGCCGCCGTCCTCCCCGTTCTCGTCGATCCTCCTGCGCGCCTCGTCCCAAGCGGCGCTGACGCGATCGGGAGGGCCGACCACCGTCAACGAGCGAGTGCCAGCGCGCCTGCTGCGGGTGTTGGCGACGCGGTTGTACTCGGCCTTGATGTGGGCCTTGTCGCTGGCCGTCAGCGTCCCGCCATCAGGAAGGGCCACTGGCCCCATGAGGGCCTGCTTGGGCTTGCGCAACCGCATTGCGCTGCGCAGCAGGCGAAGGCGCCCAGCTGCTCGAGCCAAAATGGGCACGGAAAGAATCGAGGTTCGAGAACGTTGGAACCTGAAACTTGCCGTCGCTCGGACGTCCATTTCCCGTGCAGTCGTCGGTTTCGTGTGTGTTTTTTTTTTGTTTTTTGTTTTTTTTTTGGTGCGTGTTTTTTGGTTCTTCTCGATGGCCCAGGACGGTCCTCGGTCGTTCTCGCCGATAACAAATGCACGCGGCCAAGCGATGCCAAGGAAAACGCCCACCCTGGATTAACCCTGGCTGGCCCGCGTCGGCGCGGCAGGATCGGCAGAGAAGCCGAGACGCGACGCGCGATGACATGATGCCGAACCCCTGGCCCTCCAAGGGCCACCTGCCCGATGCCCCATCGGGCCCAGACGGGCCTCGAACGATATATCCGATGTCCCCTGTACGCTACTTGTCCAATTTCCCCCTGCCCACTTTCTCGTCCCTCAATTGTTTTCTTGGTCCTCCTCGCTCATCCTCCTTCCGCCGTCCCTCTTCATCCTGGCTCCCTGCCCACTCTCTCTCTCTCTCTCTCTCTCTCTCTCTCTCTCTCTCTCTCTCTCTTTGTCTCTCTCTCTCTCCTGCCTTGCTTGCTATCGCAATTCCCGTTCCACTCTCCCTTCTTCCTCATCATGTCTGCCCTCCCTCCTCCTGTTCCTCCTGGTCCTGGTCCTCCTGGTCCTTCCTCCAGGCCCCCCGCGGGGAGCGTCCTCGCCCGCTCGGGCGGCATCGCTCCCCCGGAAGCGCCGCGTCGCGGCGCCGCGACGGTGGCCCGGGCCAACGTTGCGGGCGAGGCGACGATCACGATCGGGGCGCCGCCGTCTGAGGACGACGACGAACGCCAAGAGGGACGACGCCGACAGCGAAGATGACGACGACGACGACGACGACGTCGAAGATGACGACGATGACGACGACGACACCAACGATTCTGGCTACAGCAACGACGACAACGACGACGACCGAAACGGCGTCGACGGCAGGTGCGGCAAAAGCGGTAGCGACGACGACGATGGCTGCAGCGACGACGCCGACGACGACGATGACGACGACGGCGACGCGGACGACTGCACCCCAGCGCTCCGCCAGAAATTTCGAACGTGACCCAGCCATGGCAACGAGGGCCCCGAAGCAGGGGCTCGCAAAAGGCCAACCGAACCGTCCAAAAATCCGATCCTCAAATCACGAACGACGAACGATAACGACGACAACGACATATGCGGACGTACCAACGACAGCGCCAAAACTTAAACAACAACGCTCGAACACGAACGCCGACGACCAGGGCGACCCCTCGCCGTGCAGGGGAGGGCCCACCAGAAGAAGAGAAGAGGAGAAGGGGGGGCAAGCTAGGTATGCTCGCGCCACATCTAACATCCGACCTCTCCCTCCCCTCACGTTGAACTGTGCATCGCAATTACCAGACCAACAAAAAAACAGAAAAAATATGACAAGTTATAAAAAAAAGTTATGTTAAGTTATGTTAAAGTTATGTTAAGTTATGTTACAGTTAGCGAACAGTTAGCATAGCCGCTAAGTGGACACAACTAGGTGCTACATAATTACGCCAGGCCATGATAAGTTATCATTGAGTTGCGACATGAGATGGACCGCGTAAGTGCAGTTATATATTGGTTACAACTGGCCCTAACTAAGTTAACATAACTAAGTTATAACCTAGATCAAGTAAGTTGCAACTGGCTAAGTGCAACGTTCCGCAAAGCAGCATGTTCAGGTTCGCAAGCAGGAGAAACAGTTGGAGTCAGAGCTGGCGCGGCGTCTTCGGCTGCAGTCCGAAGTTCAGGAGGAGGCCGTGAAGGTCAAGCATCTCCGCGAGTCCATTGAGTGGTTGATCGTGCGGACAAGGAGGCCGCTCAGAAATCGGCTGGGAAATTGAAGGACTCCACCTCTTCTTCACCAGCTCCGACGGTCAAGCGGGAAGACCTCATCGCCGGCGCTGTTTACATCGGGGGGCTCAGCAACTTCGACATCACGGGGGATCCGGCAAGGATGGGCAGCTCGAGCTGCCGACAGGAGCTCGAGGATATGCAGGAGCGGCCCCGCGCCCAGTTGAAGGGAATCACGGACATGGCGAATCAGCTGTTCCAGAACGCCCTCGACCAGGCCAAGGCAACACAGGCGGCCCATCCCGCGCAGCGTGCGCGCTTGGCTGGAGAGCGTCGCAGGAACAATGTCTGGCGGGCCACTGCGGGCGGAGCAGGCGATGCCAAGCCGTCCGCTGGTGGGGCCTCGTCAGGTTCGGCGGCAGCTGCTGCAGCTCACGAGGCAGCGCCTGCGCCAGCTGACGATGCGCGCGCCCGCGCCGACGCAGCGCTTCAGCCTTCAGCCTTCAGCCCCCCTCCCCCCCAAAGCCGCTGCTCGAGGGGCGCTGGGCGGCCTCGGCAATATGACCTTGTCCAGGTTCCTGCGT